CCGTCATACTTGTAATTTGACAGTATAAGACGACAGTTGATACTTGCCTGTGTAAGTGTACAATGCGCGTCATCTGCGCGTGCTGTTGTCGTGTAAATATAACACACCAGCACGCACACATGACATGCATTGTACACTTACACAGGCAAGTGTCAACTGTCGAGTTAACTGTTGTTTCTTTTTTGTATAAAAATGCATTAGTGATGTCTAGTCTCTTTCTCAAATTCGTCATAGTTTTGATTAATTCGTGTCGTCCAATTCTGTCTCTAATCATACTCGTGATTAACAAGTCGTACTTCAGACCAACCTGATAAGGGCAGTTCTATTTATTTTCCGTTGCGATGTCTACATATGTAGATATAGTTTTGTTATAGACTTCAAAGTCAAGTTTACTGTAACAAAGGTTGCCATATCGATGTCATTACAATTATAATAAGCAGGAGATAATAGACTCTTGTTGATGATAGTTAAATGTATAAATGTACTCTGGGTAGATGTGGGTCAACGTGGTAGAACATGGTTAACTTAGGGTAGATGTTGGTCAACGTGGTAGAATGTGGCTAACCTATGGTAGTTGTGGGTTAAAGTGGTAGAACATAGTTAACTTTTGGTAGATGTGGGTCAACGTGGTAGAACATGGCCAACATGTGGTAGATGCGGATTAACGAGGTAGAACATGGCTAACTAAGGGTAGATATGGGTCAACGTGGTAAAACATGGTTAACTTAGGGTAGATGTGAGTTATCGTGGTAGAACATGGCTAACTTAGGGTAGATGTGGGTTAACGTGGTAGAACATAGTTAACTTTTGGTAGATGTGGGTCAACGTGGTAGAACATGGCCAGCATGTGGTCAACGTGGTAGAGCATGGCTAACTTAGGGTAGATGTGGGACAACGTGGTCGAACACGGCTAACTTAGGGTAGATGTGGGTTAACGTGGTAGAACATGGTTAACTTAGGGTAGATGTGGGTTACTGTGGAAGAACATGGTTAACTTAGGGTAGATGTGGGTTAACGTGGTAGAACCTGGTTAACTTAGGGTAGATGTGGGTTAACGTGGTAGAACATGGTTAACTTAGGGTAGATGTGGGTGAACGTGGTAGAACATGGTAAACTTAGGGTAGATGTGGGTCAACGTGGTAGAACATGGCTAACGTATGGTAGATGTGGGTCAACGTGGTAGAATATGGTTAACTTAGGGTGCATGTGGGTTAACGAGGTAGAACATGACTAACTTATGGTAGATGTAAGTTAATGAGGTAGAACATGGCTAACTTAGGGTAGATGTGGGTTAACGGGGTACAACTTGGTGAACTAAGGGTAGATGTGAGTGAACGTGATAGAACATGGTTAAATTAGGGTAGATGTGGGTAAATGTGGTAGAACATGGTTAACTAAGGGTAGATGAGGGTTAACGTGGTTGAACATGGTTAACTTAGGGTAGATGTGGGTTAACGTGGTAGAAACCTGGTTAACTTAGGGTAGATGTGGGTTAACGTGGTAGAACATGGTTAACTTAGGGTAGATGTGGGTGAACGTGGTAGAACATGGTAAACTTAGGGTAGATGTGGGTCAACGTGGTAGAACATGGCTAACGTATGGTAGATGTGGGTCAACGTGGTAGAATATGGTCAACTTAGGGTACATGTGGGTTAACGAGGTAGAACATGGCTAACTTATGGTAGATGTAAGTTAACGAGGTAGAACATGGCTAACTTAGGGTAGATGTGGGTTAACGGGGTACAACTTGGTGAAGTAAGGGTAGACGTGGGTGAACGTGATAGAAGATGGTTAACTTAGGGTAGATGTGGGTAAATGTGGTAGAACATGGTTAACTAAGGGTAGATGAGGGTTTACGTGGTTGAACATGGTTAACTTAGGGTAGATGCTGCTCAACGTGGTAGAACATGGCTCAGCTATGGTAGATGTAAGTTAACGAGGTAGAACATGGCTAACTTGGGGTAGATGTGGGTTAATGTGGTACAACTTGGTGAACTAAGGGTAGATGTGGGTGAACGTGATAGAACATGGTTAACTTAGGGTAGATGTGGGTAAATGTGGTAGAACATGGTTAACTAAGGGTAGATGAGGGTTAACGTGGTTGAACATGGTTAACTTAGGGTAGATGCTGCTCAACGTGGTAGAACATGGCTCAGCTATGGTAGATGTGGGTTACCGTGGTAGAACATGGTTAACTTAGGGTAGATGTGGGTTAACGTGGTAGAACATGGCTTACTTAGGGTAGATGTGAGTTAACGTGGTAGAGCATGGCTAACTTAGCGTAGATGTGGGTTTACGTGGAAGAATAAAGCTAACTAGGACATATGGTACGTCTTACATGAAGCTTATAGCATATATATTGTCAGCCATTTTGTCGTCTATATGGCATTCAGCCATGGTGTATATACCAAATAATAATTTCATTTCTCCTTTGTCAAAAAAAGCGTTTATATCCCCTCATTAGTCCCGTCTGTACCTGTTTCTTTCCGAGGAAAGAGGAAATATTTAGCTCCGAAAATTTGGGTTTTTCAAGTCCGCCGTAGTAAATTTTCGTTCCAGCGACCCTGCGGTGAGGAGATAAGAATAGCGATACTTAAGTTGCGTGTTATTCTTTGAGAAATACAAAAGTAATATAAAAATGGAGGTACCGGTGCTAAGATTCCCTGAACGTGGAAAAAGGTCAAGAATTCAAACCTGGCCGTTCCCTTAGTCGCTAGATACGTCTTGAATACGTCGTAATTGTTACTAACTGCCTCCATGATTGTGTACTGTATGGCGTCAGGCTCTACATACCTCTAGCTTTCCATTTTTCTGCTATTTAACCTTTCCTTTCTCCTCTCTTCCAGACCTATAACATCTTTTTGTTGTTTTATTTTGTTTGTTTGTTTTTCTCTAAACCGTTAAGTGCAATCTTCGCCACAATAAAAGTTGAATTTTGAACAACTTCCCCCTTCTACCCACTCCCCCCTCTCCGCTCCACCGCCTTGTCCAAGTAGGCAACTAGAAACTGGATCGTCTGACAAGGGTTTTCGCCTGAAAATTAATTCCATATTATATATTTGAGGCCTAAAGAACTTTATTTCATCATTGTTTAATTGCTGTATGAGAGTGCGAGTTCATCTCAAGGTTCGCTTGGGCGCATTATTTTTCTACTTTTCAAACAATGCATGGACCCTCACTACACGAAGGAACGACGTTGAGAGATGCGCTAGCAGGTTGCATCACTACTGTCATGAGGCTTGCACCGATCCGATGATGAACTATGCGGGCCAATAAGCTGACCTTGTACGATTGCCGAGTTTCACATGACCAGGTATCATCGCGATAGCTACACCCAAGGACAGTGAATCTTCGGCGGCAATTTTCTCGAGACGATGACTTGCTTTTTCGTTCTAGTGGTACGCATGGGGTGTCTTAGTGACGCGGATCCTGTGTCGCTGGGAAAAAGTTTGAGCAGTACCACACCAAGCTCGTCTCGTCTCTTGTTTCGTGTTATTGGACAGTGCTTAATATAGCAACTTATCCTAACTTCAGATGGAACGTGATTGTTAGTGAAGTTAGGAGAAGCTTCAGAGAACAGGCTATCAACCCCTGGTTGACCCTAGATTGACTGTTTTTCGATTAGATCGCCACTAAGTTGATTAATCTTCGGACAAATAACTCAGTCTAGCACGTAAGTAAGAGAACGTCTGCACCAAAAACTTTAGAGCAAGTACCGTAATATTGTAATGTGCAACAAGGATATGAACGTCTGACCGATAAACGACGATCGTGGAAAATGTCGGACGAGTGGATTTCACAGGCATATCAGTCCATCCAACCTTTTCGACATACGCTGATCCGGCAAGTACTAAAACATGGAACGACCTATAACCACCTAAAACCACCTACAACCATCTACAACCACCTCAAAAATTTCGACAACGACCTACAACCACCTCAAAAACATCTACAACAACACGCAAACTATCTAAAACCTAAAACCATCTAAAACAAGGCATAAATGTCTTAACTAAGGCGAAACGACAACATGTCACGTACATGAAATACGAGAATCGAACGAAACCTCCACCTCCCCCTGAAATCTTACTCTCCCTGGTTCCATGTATAATCAACCATCTCACGAAATGAAATGCGAGAGCATGCCAATTATATTTTTTATTACCTCAGTGGTAAAAGACCTAAAGAACATTACAAAATAAACTATCAAGTTACAAAAAATAATAAAGTAAAATAACAAACTCGTAGTCAAGACTGACTTGACTTGACTTTTTCAACCCTGGGTACCAGCTGACGTTTTGGCTCACGTCTAGAAAAAGTATGAGTAAGAATGATCATTAGAAATATTTCTGTGTGTACATTTGGAATCTTCCTTTGGCACGAACGCCATCGTGCTGGTATTCATACAGTATGCAGTTGTACGAGTGGTGCCACTTACGCAATAGTGACTCACGTTTTGCTCCAATTACATTTAAATTGCTGAGATTATAAATGGAGAAAAACACTACCTTGGATCATTACGTAATCAAATGAAACGTGAGCTAAAACGTCTGCTAGTAAAGTTCTTTAGGTCTTTTACTACTGAGGTAATAAAAATCATAATTTCATTTCGTCAGATGGTTGATTATACATGGGACCAGGGAGAGTAAGATTTCAGGGGGAGGTGGAGGTTTCGTTCGATTCTCGTATTTCATGTACGTGACATGTCGTTTTGCCTTAGTTAAGACATTTATGCCTTGTTTTAGATGGTTTTAGATAGTTTGCGAGTGGCTGTAGATGTTTTTGAGGTGATTGTAGGTCGTTGTTGAAATTTTTGAGGTGGTTGTAGATGGTTGTAGGTGGTTGTAGATGGTTGTAGATGGTTGTAGGTGGTTTTAGGTGGTTTTAGGTGGTTTTAGGTGGTTTTAGGTCGTTCCATGTTCTAGTACTTACCACACTGATCCACATATTCACAAGACTACCTTCCATAGGTGTAGAATGGCGATTCTTGGCTTACTAAAGAAGCTAATATAACTATATTTGGTTCTGTTCTACACCTGGTTCGGTGAAAACGAACATAAATAATTACTGGTAAAACCAAGTGAGCCAGCAATTTTTAATTAACAAACAGAACCTGCATTTTAAATGAACCGAGCGCTCTATCCATTACAACTGATTGCATCCATTTTCAACAATAGCAGATTATAAAACGACCACGATTGTTTCTTAAAACATATCAAAAACACCAGTTATAAACAGAGATTACTCCATGATGTAAAGTTTTTATTTCATACATACTGAGACCAACGCATTTCAAAGACTAGAAGCAAACGACTCTGAAAATACATTTTTTCGTCCAATCAGAGACACGAGCAAGATGATATTTCACAATGTCACTCTCAGTATGTATGAAATTAGTACAATTTATCGCATCAATGAACAAAAACAGAAGCACCCAGCGAACTTGGCCAAAAATTTAACAATCTCTCTCCTGAATTCAAATAGACCACTGACATGACTAGAACAACCCTTCACATCATGATCCACATTAACAAAACAGAACATAACAGCTTTACATTTTCTAAGTCTAACAAAAGAATGAGCTGTGAGAATCCATCTGATCAGACTCGCAATCCACCCTCCATTCGAAGGTATCCTGACCGCTGACTACACATCAAGTAACATGCTCCAATCATTCCCAGCAGCTGTTGATAAAGGAGAAGATTATAGGTTGTCTCCTACCTTCAAATTGAATAAATTGCTCCATATAAAATAAAGAACTAGCTGTGAGAAATCACACAACAAAATGAGAGTGAGTTACCACCTCATGCTGTCAACAAGACTTATGCTAAAAGTATATTTTATCTCATCCTATCATGGATAGCTAGGTTACTGGAAATCCCAAGAAAAATTAATTGCAAGGGTTTGGAAGAAAAAGTGAAACAACACTTTTACATCCAGAGGACAAGTTAGGCAGAGGTTGTGGTTCAGCCGAAAAAAAAAAAAGAACCTTGAAGGGAAGGGGATATAAATATTGCATGGGATAAAAAAAACTCTCTCCCAACTATAAGAAAACCTGTTTTTAGAGATAATCATATACCAGAGTAAAATTCTACCCAAATCATACTTCAGGTAAAGTCAAAACAACTCATACTCTTTAATTCTCAATGAAATATTCACTCTGAATGGCAATATTTCTGCCAATGTAATTGGTACTTACTTGAAGCACAGCCAGTCCAATACCTGACCCCATAATGTAACTAAGGTTGTCTTCAACTTCCTCAGTCAATTTTTTCAAGCAGCCCTACATACAATGTACAAATACCATAAATGATTAATAAGATTCCTTCTCACTAAGAAGCCCAGTTCTCTCCTGACTACCATTCCCCCTTAAACAACATCACCAAAATGATAGTAGTTGTTATACATAGAGGCTAGGTAGCTTTTCAACTCAAAAGCCTGTACCTGTTTCCTGTTTCCATTTTACTTTGTAGGTAGTAGATACTTAACCCTTTAATTCCCATAAGTGGCCAAGAAAGAATTTCTCCTAACAACCCACATCTGGAAGCCTTTGAAATGAATAAGTCACAGGGGGCATATAAGATTATTAATGGAATTCAGTGGTAAGTTTTTATTTTGTAAATAAGGCTAGAAGAGTTAGCCATAGCAGTACAAGTCACTCCTCTAGTTTTACCATCCTGAGGTATGTGGGTTGTATAAATCTTACTTCCTTGGTGGTTGCTGGAAGGTAGATGGAGACCAGAATTTGACAGTTGATGGGCAAAAAGGAAAGAGTTTATTACTGGTTCTTACCTTATCATATACATTGAATTGTGTACAACTCAATGTTGCTGGAGGACAGCAGGAATGAGGGTATTGGCCATGATGTTTCAAAGCATATGGAAGCCAATCAGTAGGTTTCTCATTGCCACAACATTTCAGCTGCAAAACATAAATATTCAGTTTTGTTAACATAGCTGTACAGATGTCCATTGTTTCACCAACGACTCACTCTGCCAACAGTTGTTTCACAAATGTCTCTAGTCAGTTTGCAAATGTGTAGAAGTCAGTTTGCAAACATTTAGAGGTCAGTTTGCAAATGTTTAGACACGGGATAAAAATGCTGCCACCTTGGGATGAAATATTAACATGGCTGCTTAGTGACACAGGTGAAATGTTTATAACATTTGCAAGCTGACTTCTAAACATTTGTGAACTGACTTCTACACGTTTGCGAACTGACCAGAGACGTTGGTGAAACAACTTGTTGGCAAAACGACCGGTTACCAGCTGTACAGGGAGATCCTTAGGATAAAACACTGTCAGTAAAAATATTTCTTAGATATTTTATAATAATTTCTTTGCTGTCCACATATACATAATTTTTTTGGTTTCACATTTTGATCAGTCAATTGAGTGAAACCTGTAACTGATTCCCAATTCATTTCTCCCATGATATGAATTGAAAAAGAATCTGTATTCAGGACACCCTTCTGACATGCATGGATGCATGCAGAAACCAAAATTTAGGTGCTTTATCTACATGGATTTTAATAAGGCAAGAGCTTTCAGACAGATTTACAAATCATTATACAGTGCATGTCTTAAGTAAATTTTCACTTTTTGAATTGTTTATTCCAGCAATAAAGGGTTTTTCTGTGGTAATGAGAGCTCCCCATAATATGATTCAGTTCTACTTGGATTATATGAAGTAAATACACTAACATTTTTCTGGAGTCCATCTACAGCTTTATCTAAAGTTGTGTCTTTATCATCATAATGCTTGATTGCATCCTGGAAACCATCCTGCACAAAGCTTTTAGCCTAAAGACAGAAACAAAAAAAAGTGGATGTCACCTACTTGTTAATAAGTAGTCTCTTAAAAGCTAGACAGCAGTATGTGTATTTCCCCACTCTCTTTGTTATATTATCAAGGAAAGAAAACAACTAACATACCTTGGCACTCAATTTGAAACCACTCAATCAAAGATAAAGTTTAGGGTGTGATGTTGCTAAAATATAGGTTAAGGGTAGAGGAAAGGGTGAAGGGCAAATAGATAAGAAAGAAGGTACTCACTGGGGGTAAAGGTTGAAATCAGACAGTGAGGGGATTTTAAACTACAGCTGAGGGTAAGGGTGCAGTGGATCAATCTAAAGATGGGAAGATTACTTCTTTCCCCTTATTCTAAAGTTAATATTTTTTAAAGCTTGATTTGATCGGACACAAAGATCATTTGCTCCATCATATCACATAATATTGAACAATAGCATTCCACTACTATGTCATTTTACCAAACTAAGTCATGATAAAACGCCAAATATGGTACTACCCTATAAATCACCTTGCTTAGCAATCTGAGCTTTGGTGTTTTTCACTCATTCATGCTGAAAGCAATGAATGAGGTATTGTGGTGAAGCAGATGTTGATGGAAGTTCTTGACCATAGACGGAAGTTGTATTCCGTAGATGAAAGTTGCAATGTGGACCATGAACAGAAGTAGTCTTGCATGCTACCCCTCCCCACTTAGTAAAAGTCAAAATTAATTTCAATGAAGCTCAGAAACTCGTGTGGAAAGAAATAAAATGTTCATATGGTTTAATAAAAATCATAACCTCAAATCCAATTTCTAAAAATGCAACTTGAATCAAGAAGCTGAAATGTTCACACCTAGGGATCTGTAGCAGGTTCATTTCAACACATGCTATGACCATGCAGAAGGGTATCAGAGGCAGCCATATTGTTAAGCCTCACCCTGGTGAAAATCTTTCAAGGATCTTTAAGGATCTTACAAGATCTTCATGAGGACCTTTGAGGATCCTCTTGAGGATCTTCATGAGGATCTTCAAAATTCTTGTGAAGATCTTCAAGGATCCTTCATTTTCTTGCCAAGATCTTCAAGGATCTTTCATTTTCTTGCCAAGATCTTCAAGGATCTTTCATTTTCTTGCCAAGATCTTCAAGGATCTTTCATTTTCTTGCCAAGATCTTTGAGGATCTTTGACTTTCTTGACAAGATCTTTAAGGATCTTTCATTTTCCTGTCAAGATCCTTGAAGATCTTGTCTGGATCTTCAAAGATCTTTACATGAACTTTGAAGATCCTTTAAAGATCTTTGAAAATTCTTTGAGGATCTTCCAAATTCTTGTTAAGATCTTTGAGGATCTCTCATTTTCTTGCCAAGATCTTCAAGGATCTTTTTGAAAATTTTGAAGATCCTTAAAGATCTTGGAAAGAAAATAAAAGACCCTTAAAGATCTTGGCAATAAATTGAAAGATCTTTTGAAGATCTTAGCAAGAATGTTATAGAACCTTCGAAATTTTGACAAGAAAATAAGCATACTTAAATCCTCATACTAAGTTAAAAAGAAAAATTGAACCAAACATAAAAAAATGAAGATAAAACTTTTTTTTATTGCTAAACGAGAATTACCCATCCTCTTCTAGTAGGACTACTTCTACACTATTTCTGTTCAGACTTTAGGTTAGTACTAAGATTTTCATTTTCCAAAAAATCTGGCAACAGTCCAGCTCAAAGATAAGAAGACCAAAATATATGTGTTAAACTTGTCTAGGACTAGACTATGACCAGACTCAGACTACTCTTACAGAGGGGGTAAACATGAAAAAAAGGCAAACAAGAGTACTTCAATGACTATATTTCTGAACCATATTAACCTATATACCAAAGGAAAGCTTAGGAATCACACATACTGAATATAACTAATATGTTGCCCTAAACTAATTTGTTATTTGACATCAGATCAATTTGTCCACCACATGGTGTGAAAAACCTAGGTATACTTGAGAAAAGATAACTGCACAAAGATTGCATGAAATCGAGTGTTTTTAGTGTCAAAACAAAGTACTAGGGTCGTTCTTTTGGATGAGCTGAGGAACTTTTGGAGTCGTTTATATTATGGGCACAGTGCCCGTTCAAAGTTCACCGAGATTATTAGGTGAGTTATTCCACAATATCTTACTTAAAATTCAGCTTAAAGAGAAACTGTCAGCTTATCCAACTCAACTCAGTAAGAGGATACAGCCCTGAAAACTTCAGATTAATTGAACTAATACATCCTGAGGTACAAAATAAGTGTTTTCGGGAATTCATATGACAACCTCTAAAAGAGCTTTTTAAGTTGGTTACACAGAACCAAGTAAATTCACACCTTCTTCAGAAACATGTCCTTCAGTGAGCGTCGAGGAGAATCTCTCTAGATCGATAAGCCTGTATCCTTGTCCCTATAACACATCATTTGCATCCTCACTCTCCAAGAGCTCAGAGTAAGAATCATTAGGCGAGGATGGCATCTTCATTTTCTTTCCAGAAGTACCAATGAATTCTTTTCATTCAGCCCCAGAGTCAGAGCAATCGCGAGACCTGCTTGGAGTTCGATTGACGATTTCGGTTGTTTCTGTCTCTCTTTTCGCTTGTTTCTGAACTCCAGAAAACGCCTTTCCTTTACTTTTATTTCTGTGTACATTTTCCCTTTAGTTCCGACCATTGTCGATGATATTTGCCGTGACAACGAGCTTCTTATGTTTTTATGCGACCGTTAAAAATCTCGGCGCGTATAAATTCCTATCCCATAATGCAAAACCCTATTTCGTGTCATGTAAGTAGTCACAAAGTTTCCCGAAAGCCTCGAGCAAGGCGTTCCTATGCGGTAACCTTCATTACACTCATTGCACAATAATTTTCTGCGAAAATTCCTTGTTGTGTTTAAATTATAAAACAGTGAGCCCTCAATTTACAATTTTGTTATGTTTGAAATTACTTGAGGATTTCAAAGGAACCTAATTCATAATGCAGAGATGTGGTAGAGATCTTGACAAAGTTGCCTTTGAGATCCACATCAAATTCAAAAAGGATCCTTACAAAGAGCTGTACAAAATCATGAAATGAATCTTTTAAAGATATTTGGAAGATCCTTTTCAATTCCTTGAGGATCTTGAAGGATTGTAGAACAGATCATGCTAAGATCTTGACTAGGATCCTTGTAACTCCTAATCAAATTCTTAAGGATCTTAGCAAAGATCTTAGCAGGATCCCTAAAAGGTTCTTTTGAAGGTCTTTAAAAGATCCTCATTAAATCCTTGAGGATCCTGAAGGATCCTTGAAAAGATCCTGCAAAGATCTTGACTTAAGGATCCTTGTAAGATCCTGATCAAATTCCTAAGGATCCTGGCAAAGATCTTTACAGGATCCTTGAAAGGATCTTTTGTAGGTCTTTAAAAGATCCTCATTAAATCCTTGAGGATCTTGAAGGATCCTTGAAAAGATCTTGCAAAGATCTTGAGTAGGATCCTTGTAAGATCCTGATCAAATCCTTAAGGATCCTTGCAAAGATCTTAATAGGATCCTTGAAAGGATCTTTGGAAGGTCTTTAAAAGATCCTCATTAAATCCTTGAGGATCTTGAAAGATCCTCAAAAAGATCCTGCAAAGATCTTGACTAGGATCCTTGCAAGATCCTGATTAAATCCTTAAGGATCCTTATAAAGATCTTGAAAGGATCCTTGAAAGGATCTTTTGAGGGTCTTTGAAAGATCCTTGCTAAATCCTTGAGGATCTTGAAGGATCCTTGAAAAGAACTTTGCGAGGATCCTTATGAGGATCTTTGTAATATCCTTTGAGGATCCTTATCAAATCCTTGAGGATCTTAACAAACATTTTTGCTTACAAAGATCTTTGAGGATCTTTTACAGATCCTTTAAAGATCTTTTAAAGATCCTTGTCCTTAAGGATCTTTGGCAGGTCTTTGTCAATCCTTGAAGATCCTCAAAGATCCTGTGAGGTTTTTCACCAGGGCACATTTGCATTTATCTTCAGTTGGTCTAAAGTAATTGTTGCCCTATCATTGTGCTTGTTCTCGAGAGGTCCTCATCATACAGTCCACACATCAATCATTGCAGCCAAGATAGTCTCACTAAAAATTTTTTTAGAGCCCCAATATTTCAGTTTGGACTTGAAGCTTGCTCCAACGAAAAAAGCAATACCAATCTGGTCAATACAAAATGCAGACTGCAGACCAGGTACAACATGCTGAATAGGTACAAAATGCAGACTACAGACCGGGTACAGAATGCAGACTGAGAGTTTATACTGTTTTTTCGTCTTATACATGACATTTCATCTTACAACTTACCAAGTGTCACACAATTGATCATAATATAATTTCAAGGCATCATATAGTATTCTCACTTTGCGCGCGAGTTGGTTGGTGTGATGTCTATACAGAATTTACCAACTAAATGAAAGTAGATGTAGATGTAAATGACATGCCACTATTCAGAGGTGTACACACACTGATTTTCACATATGTGCCCTATATTGTTATTTCTATACATGAGAAACTGGCAAATTTTTCATAAATTTTTACAGGGGAAAGCAAAGCATTGCTTTCTGGACTGCCCAAAAATAAAAGAAAATGTATTCCAAAAGTCTTGAAAGTTCACATAAACCAAATTCAACTGTACCTAAATTCAGCAAGTCCGGGAAATCAATACAAACTTAAGCCATAACATTAATGAGCTAGCTCCAAGAGCCCTTTGATTTGTTTTTTGTTTGAATTGTAAGAAATGAACTTTTCAGCACAACATATCTTGTTTTGGTTGATCACAAAGAACACTTTAATGGTTTTGTTTGTGTTGTTTCAAATTTGTCTTTTGCATACTCCTTATTCTATTAAGAAAATGCGAAGATGGGGCCAAAGGCTGTATTTTGCAACTACAATAAAAATATTAAAAAGTGAAATAATAGTGGAATAATAAATTCCTTTTGGATGGTTCAACATTTAATATGAGCAGACAATTTACTCATTGCTTGAATTTTTGCTTACTCAAAATACTTCACAACCTGCCAAATATCCCTGCATATTATTTGTTAATCCATCAAATAAAATTTACAGAGCAGTTGGACTTGAAGAATGTATTACATTGTTTCATATTTTTCTCTCAGACCTGATTGAGTTAGACTATGGGTAAACAGATATGATCCATACTACTGAAACCTGCCATGTCAACTTCTTAAGTTTACAATTTTCATCATCTCCTAGCTGATGATTTACTAAGTGATCACTGTATTTGATATAAGATAGGGGAACTTTAGTTTGATTGTGACCAATAAATGTTTCATCTGATTCCTCATACTATTGTATGTTTTATAAAGGATACATGTATGTATTATTACCAAAGACAACACGACAATACATCAAAAAAATGTACCTTATCCTTGTAGATATATCCTAAGACACCTGTTGTAATCTCCAATGCAAACACAATGAGAAGTAGTGCAAAAAACTGCAAGGTAAAAGGTCATACACTCACTGCACATAGAACATCCTGTTGTCTCTTATACATAATGATTTCTTAAAACTGGATTTTAATTTTTATACACTTTGTAGATTTTGCATAATAGTTCCCAATAAATAAGTTGTAAAATAAATCAAACACTTCTTGTCAGATGAAGGCCCCTTAATATTCCCTACCAGGAACAAAAGACTCTCTATGAAGTACATATAGTGCTCTTAACATTGTTGATCTTAGCAATATGCAGAAAGCTGGCCAGATATAAAGCTAATATATGGCCTTGCTCAGCAAAAAGTTCTCTGTAATTCAGTTGGTGGGTATCTGGATATCAAGTTTGAAGCTCTGTGCCACAAATCAATGGTACATATCTACAAATCTGTTCCACACATTACACATAATTAGCATCTTCCTTCATCAAAATTGAATATTTATTATCAAAATTATCACTACAATTATTTTGTTTTCTTATAGATGCAGTTCAATCACATGTTAAGTTAATCAAGGTTTTACCGTGGACAGACAGCATTTGTTATCACGGCATGTTCCACAGCAACCAAACAAGGCAGTGATAAAGATCAGGACACCCACTCCAACTAGGATTCCACATGGTACCAAAGTGTACTCATCAGTTGTAATCTTTGTAATGTCGCCATATTTTTTAATTAGCAATGCCGCAACAAAAATGACAGCACCAGATACACCCTAGAAAATATTACAATGTAGGTGAAATAATCATGTACATTAATTATCAACTAAGTCTACACGCATAGTTTGTACTCTTTTAATTTAAGTATGAAATTCCACGACTCTCCATGACTACTCCAAGAACATTTCTGCTGTTTTCCACGACTTCCAATCAAGATTTAAAAACCGGAAAAAGAACTTGGCTGATATCCATCCATTTATATCTCACGCTTGGTCAATTACACAAACAGTAGATACAACTGGGTGCTCGGGTTCCATGCAAATAGGATTTAGTGTCAGGCATTCAGCTGTCTAATTACGAATAATTTTAACGGCTCGTTGAGATAGGAATTATGTCTCAGTGTCTGTGATAGGCTATATCTATAAGAGGTAATTTAGTGTTAACAACTGGGTTGAAAACGTAAATTAGCCACCGTAAAGGGTAAAAAAGCTGACGTTTCAAGCGTCAGCCCTTCGTCAGAGCGATTAGAGGAATTGTGGGTTGTGTGTGGATTTATATGTAGAAAGTGGAGCTACACCATTGGTGGAAATATGGTGAAGAGAAAACAGGAATAAATTAGCTGAATGAAAAGCGCTCGTTGATCCCGTGGGGATTAAGGGTGCCGATTTGGAATATAAATTTTTGTTCTAGTGTTTTACGGCTTTCCAAACTGCCTAGATGTAAGGAAAGGCATCCAAACCAGTCGCTAGACACTTTAATCTTCCTTATCATTCTAAACAGCATATAGCAGTTTGCGGCCTTTAATCCTGTTTTCTCGTCACCATATTCCCACCGATGGCGTAGCTCCACTTTCTACATATAAATCCACACACAACCCACAATTCCTCTTATCGCTCTGACGAAGGGCTAACGCTCGAAACGTCAGCTTTTTTACCCTTTACGATGGCTAATTTACGTTTTCAACACAGTTGTTAACACTAAATTACCTGCTATACTCTCCCACCAACGCAACACCACAGTTTCTTTAGAAACTTACCCCTTTATTCATATATCTATAAGAACTTTTTGACCAGCCAATCATCAGTCAATCAGTCCGGAAAAAGTACGAGCACTGAAAAATCATATCGCAAAAATTGGAGCCCTTTATGTTTCTTCGTATCGATTCAATTTGGAAAAGAACGTCTAAATAATCTCACGAACGGTGAACGAACATGAAGGTTTTAATTATGCTTAGTTGCTTTAAGCTGTTCCTCGGGGTACTCACCAAGTAAATAAAGTTGAAAAAAAACAAGAAAGCCCTCGCACATTCCATCGTAAATCACTATAATACAGAACCTTCGAACGCGTCACAGGTTAATCATACTACGTCGATGCCTCAAATAGTACACAGGTAAATTAGGCATGGAAACTAGTGGATTTCAAAACGTCATCACCCGCCAGCATGATCTCGACACCAAAATAACGATTATCGTTATTTCTTAATTGGCCCTGAAATAGCAGAGGGGCATTTTGTTGCGCATGCGCCAAGAAAATTTGTTCGGCGCGTTCGGCGCCATTTTGATATTTTCAGCGCGCTTCTGCGGGTTTTCAACTGAGCGATCGACACCTTTCTGTGATATTTTTTGGAGAGGGATGGAAGAGTATGACAAGTTTACTACCATTTCTAACTCTGTGGATACTTGTGGAGTTTGCTGGCTCTTCGGATGAGGATATTTTAATGATCAAAGTGCGAACAAAACGCGAAAAAAAGTCGAAAACTTGAAGTTTGAGATTTGATTTGCTGACGATCAAGATGTGCACATGAGACTACAAACCTTGAAGGTTAGTCTTAAGATGTTGATGTCTTACTTCTATAAATCACGAAGTGATGTGTGGAGGCGATCGTGAGATATTCGTTACGATAATAGAAGGTAGTTTACAATTGGATCTTATTTTACTTCAACTTTGAAATAAAATTACGTTAAGTTCGAGGTGGCCCCCAAGCTTCAAATCACTTCAAATAACATCTTATCTTCTTTCTCTTTGTTGTCCCATTGGACACAAGGCTTAAAAAAATGTTCCAGCTTCAGGATTGAGTTGCTCTTTCTATAACCTTCGGCGAATTCGTTTTTGGGAGGTTGAGGTGGATTTTCAAAGTCATGGCTCACAACTGTCTTTGGCCATTTTGCTCTCCAAGTCTGTTGTACTTGGTACGTAGGCATGCGTCTTAACAACGTTTATAGTCTTGCCTCGATCATCTGCGGTTTTATCTAATTTTTTTGCTGTGTTTTGGTGAGAATTTTTCTGATTGCCCTTTTGGGCTTGAAGGGTTAACTAGAGGATAAACTTCGGTAGAACTTGTTTTATCACATGGCCCCCAAATCTCTCACCACTGTCAGTTCATTGTTTATTTATTTAGCCTTCGGTCTAACCAGTTCATTTACCTCAAAAAATCCGTGGGCTTTGTCTCATGAGTTTAAACTGGTGCCGTTTTCTTCATGTTCATGTGTTATTCGAAACGGATGGCGTCAGCTTCATTCTGTCTTGTTTATTTCAGTAGAATACTTCTGCCATACGAAATGAATTTTGAGTCGAAGTGTACTATAAAACTCGCAGATTAAAATTATCTAACTTTCTCTGGTTCTTAAAACATGAGGTGAGCGATACAATAAATGAATAATTACTCAAGGGGCTGGAACTCTCTTTCTTTAGAATGTGAACTACAGTATTTCTGTCATATTTGAAAACGAATTTCGGGTTAAAATGTCTTCAAACCAGTTTGACTTGTATTTCTCTTTGCCAGATAAGTCTTGATCCTTCAATTTTTATTTCTTAATTGAGACTGATGATTGGAATTAACTATTGTGTTCTCTGCTGTTTAGGGAGATGTGAAGTGACCCCACTACATATGGTCAGTACTATTGACAGAAAGGATAGGTGTGACATTTGCTGTGGCAAGCTGGCATTCAAGAGAATGTCATTAGTACCAGAAGCTTACTACTGGTATAAATTATCAATCTTTTGTTCTCTCCACACAACTTGCCTCAACTAGCTTATGCTATATGCAACTTGTGTCTATACCTTTTTTTGCAACTATAAAATTACCAATAAAGTTTTTTGAAAGTTTTGTCCAAATTTCATGGGAAAACAATATGAGGAGTGATCAGGTGAAATATTGTCCTGTTCCATAACAGTGTTTGAGCTTCCAGGCAGAGCTAAAAAATTTCTTAAGCGACTGATTTATGATTTTCTGCCTTAAAATTAGCGCATCCAAGCTGATGCCCATTACTGCAGAATATGCAATATCAAAGTCCCCTTTTGACTTAGGTCTCATTTCTCTAAAATCTGATAGATGTAGAGCATCAATTTTCATAAAGAGATCAACAAACCTCTTCACATTAGTTTAATCTGACCTCACTAAGTCTTATTCCTGAAAAGAAAAGGCTTTTTTTTTTTTTACCCTCACTGTTAAATATCAGCCTTACTGGTTCTTTGTTGTTTAGCATGTGTAAGAGTCTTTTCAGACCATCAAATTGTCACACAACTCTTGTAATTTAATAGGTTGGAGAATAAGGTTGCAAAAGAGTGTATATGATTTTTTGTGCAGTTGAAATGATAAATGATAGTGATTTTCACTGGGTAATAATTGATTTAACTATTCATCTTACAACTGGAAGCCCAAAGTAGTACTTGTTTTCATTCACAATTTCCCCACATCATCGATCATATCTGATGATATTTCCGAGACTAATGATTGAAAAGACTTTATCTTACTCTGATAAAATCCATAATTATTCCTCCATTTCTAACCAGATGGAGCTACCATATCTCTAGCATTAGCATTGTCTTACTTTTCTTTACTCGACATTGACCTTTTTATTTTGGTAATCGGCCCTGCCGGTTGTGATTCATGTCAAAAAAAAACTTTTGAAACAAAACATAAACCTCTGTAAACTTTACATTTTTGCCAAAATTGAGGTACACTGCACTAGCAGTACAGTTGAAGCTCTAAAAACGCTTACAGAAAGGCGAGTACTTCAAATGATCACCTATAACTTGAGATAGCAATGACACGATAAAAGTATACTATCCAATTCTTTTGTACTCTTCGACAGGCCACTTGCATCCTTCAAAAATAACATCATCTTCATCGATCGCCCAGACAATCACGAGACAAGACTCGAACAATCTTTTGCATTCTGAAAATAACTTCCTTCCACACATCACACAATAATTTCAAGGATTTGCCGCTTCCATCTACGTTACAGAAGAAAAAATGAGAAGAAAGGTTGTCTCAAATACTCGAACCATTGTTTTTCCGACGTATTTTACTGCTTCTTTTCTTTCGTGATTCTCGAAAGGGAAACCGACGCAGGCGCATACCAGCCCCTGAAATAACGAATAGCATAATTTCGGTGCATGTGTGAGACCTTCGGGCTCGAAGCTTGGGAACTAGTATTCAGGGAAAGATAAAATGGCGGCTTACGGCGGCGAAGGAAATCTCAGTAGTTTAATATTTTAGCGTGAAAAGGCTTGGGTGTTGTGATCTGGTTCTCAAGTAAAAAAAAATCACGGTCTGCAATGGCACTACCACCTTTTGAACAACAAGAAAACATTGAAACGGTGGTAAAAAGCAGCAAGTTTCGAAGTCTAAACGAAAGATGGGTAAGCTGAGTTTCAGTCAAATATCACGACATTTGGGATGTAATTTCGATACCGAATAAATAGTTCTACATGGTTATACACGCATAGGATTCTGTTGTGTTCACGTGAAGGCCATTTCAGCCATTCCTGCCACTTGTAAGTGGTAGGAAATAAAATATATGCATACTTGTTTCGTATTAAAACCCTGTGAAATCACAAATTTGATTTATTTCTTCTTTGTTTTAGGTGGTCATTATCCATTATTTTTGGAAGTCGATGCTGATGAGAAAGAAAAAATGTTTACGATTATTTCTTCTCTCGAACATTTTACTATTTAGGTACCAAATAATCTTGATACTGAAGATCATTGCATCCTATTATGAAAAAATTACCCTTGATTGCTTTGTCAACTGGAATGTATAATGTAATATACCTTGTGATTTGTGGGATTTTCACAAGTAAACTAGAAATACTTGAAGAGGGTAATGATGTACTTAATGCAGAGCATTTGGTACAAAGGCTGCTTTGCTGTAATCTACCTGAAGGTGCTTTTTATATGCTAGGAAGACTTGCACAGCCCAGTCAAAATGTTTTTGAGTAGTAGACAAGCAAGCTGTAGTAATTATAGGCAGCAGAGGCCAAACCTCTTCCTGAAAAGCAGTCTGAAAAGTGTGAAGTTAGCAGAAGGTACTTCATTGTAGGCGGCCAAATTGTAAGCTGCCAGCCCATTTTGAGTGAGCAGTAAAACTCAAGATTGGCTATTTTAGCTAATTTTATTGAGAACCAAATTCCCAGCAATGGGCACATTTTTACTAGGCTATTTGTTATTTAACTACTTAGTAATATTCTTATTAAAATTTACTGCATTCCTTTCTAATAATTTGCTGCTGATTGTATGCTGTATATAGCTTATGATTGGTGTGATTTTCACAAGTAAATTAGAAATACCTGAAGATGGTAATGATGTACTAGATAATGTACTTGATGCAAAGCTATTTTGGTACAAAGTATGTGCCTTGTCCGTAGGTGATTTTGTATGCTAATAAGACTTGTAATTCAAATAATATACATCAGCTGGAGTGGGAATATTAAAAGAAAAATACAGAAAGAAACATTGATAAATAAAATAAATCAATAGAAATGACAAAAATCATGGTTTTATGTCCAAATTAAGCACTTAATTGAAGATCACTGCACTGCTCAGGTCCAGAAGGCTGAAAGAGTACTGTCTGCTGTCAGTTTGATTTTTGTCATTTCTATTGATTTTTTTTATTCATCAATGTTTCTTTGAATTATAATTCATTGATCTCTTTCAATAGTGCAGGTTCGCTCATGTAACCTAATCTCCCACATATGTATGTATGTATGTATGTATAAGCTCAGTCGAAATGTTTTTGAGTGGAAGGCAAGCTGGTGATAGTAATGGGCAGCAGAGGCTGAACCTTGTCTTGAATGGAAGTGTGAAAAGTGTGAAGTTAGCGGCAGCTATATTGTGGCAGGCAGCCAAATTGTCGGCTGTGGCACATTTTTACTGGGCTGATTGTGTGTAGTATATATGTGCACTTCTTTTAGGGTGTTAAACAGGTTAAAGTACTAAGAAATCCTCTGTGATAACTTGATAATTCAAAATGTAAAAATTTTTAATAATAAGGTAAAGCTTGATCATTCTTAAGAGTTTCCATTTGTTCT